TAGGTTGGAGGAGGCCATCGCTACTAGGTTGGAGGCCATAGCTACTAGGTTGGAGGCCATAGCTACTACTAGGTTGGAGGCCATCGCTACTAGGTTGCAGGCCATCGCTACTAGTAGGTTGGAGGAGGCCATCGCTACTAGGTTGTAGGCCATCGCTACTAGGTTGTAGGCCATCACTACTAGGTTGGAGGCCGTAGCTACTAGCAGGTTGTAGGCCATCGCTACTAGGTTGGAGGCCATCGCTACCAGGTTGGAGGCCATAGCCACTACTAGGTTGGAGGCATCGTGGCACCACACTCGCTCTTCGATGAAATTGTGCTGAGTGGATTGGACCCGCTCGGGGATCAACAGCTGGACCAAGTCTGCTTGAATGCTCTTGTCGCAGCGGTCCTGTCACAGTGAAATATAAGAACTAAACAAAGGAATAATATAAATGAAAGTCAAAGAGCCCAAAGAACAAGAAGAGAACAACAGAACAGTCTTAAGAAAACAACAAAATCAAAGGTCTATTTGAGGTAGAAAGCATACCTGGTGAGTTTGTCAAACTTTGTTCCTGTTTTCTGTACATGGCGACAAAAGCAAGAAACATGTCTGAATTTCTTTCGACCTCTTTTGTTGTCCCGCTCCTTTGCTGTGAATCCCGTCTCATCCTGAGGTTCCGAGGAAACTGCTGTGACCGTTCAAACACGTATTCAACAGGTGACATGTTTAGGTTGGAGGCCGCTACTAGGGTGGAGGCCATCTCTATTAGGTTCCGCTGGTTTCAGGTGTTACCGTGTTGCAACGACACGGCACAGGGCTTCCACGGCTTCCACGGCTTCAGTTCGCGTCCCACCGACACCCATCGCACCTTGCACCAAGGCATGGCACCGTTGCTGAGGAGCAACTGCGCCACGTGTAGATGACCCTGGACAAATAGAGGTCAGTAGAGTCTTGGCATGGATTCCGGAAGAATTCTGTTCAAACATCGCTTGAAGAAAGCTACTAGTAGCGTCCTTGCTCCTAGTAGCGAAGCCAGGAGCCCCTAGTAGCGTCCTTGCTCCTAGTAAAGAAAATTAAGAAAGTTGAAGTAAGGTCTGAAGAAAGGTCCAATAATCCTCCTCTCTTTGTCCTATCCACTTTTAATCAATCGTCATTCCTCTTCTCCTCTTGTCAAGATGTGTGACAATGTACACAACTCTGACAACCCCTTGCTGGGGCGTAGGCATGTTTCAACAACCTTTGGAAGTATCAGCAACTCTTACGTACGATGGAGGCCATCGCATCGCTATTAGGATGGAGGCCATCGCCCACAGGTCGGAGGCCATCGCTGTTAGGTTGGAGGCCATTGCTAGTAGGTTGGAGGCCGTCGCTATTAAAAGATTGGAGGCCATTGCCATTGCTATTATAATATATCCATCACATGGGTGGTCTTGTACTGAGCGCAAAAAGAGTTTATGCAAGCCCCAAGCCCATCCTGATTCCTAAGGATAGTACAGAACGTCAAGTTTCTCAAAAAAAATATCGGAACCAAATGAATAGTGCAAGGGCGTTCCTGCATCCAGCTACTACTTACCCCATACTACTGGCTACTTAAGACTCAGGCTTTACGGCCTATCCCTCAATTAAAAACAAAAAACACATATCAGAAACAAACATGTGTTTGTCTTCTTTACTCACTGACAGCTCTGCGGGGGTTGATATGGTGGTGAGACCTCGGGCTTGACGCGTTGCGGTTGACCTCCGGCATGTGTTTTTCGCTTCAAACACGTCACAGTGGCTGAGACGATCTCATGCGACTGCGAAGAACGCCGGAACCCTTCCGTGCGACTCATGGTTCAAATTGGAGGTCCTTTGGCTCCGAACTTGACCTTGGAACACTCCAAAGGGTTCCAAGGGAATTTCAAAAGCCTCCGCGGTTCCAAATCAGTTCCTGCAACCTGCTACTTAAAGAAGGAGCCTTATAGTTCCCAAAAAAGACATGAAAGAAGCCTGCTACACGTCCTCTTTTTCGCCACCGAGCCTCACAAGCGCTGACGAACAAAGCAAAACGACCAGCGGCGTCAGCGCCTCTTCGACAGCCAGCATTAGCGGAGTCGAGAAGTCGTTCCTCGAGTCGCTTTCCCCCGAGTTCTGAAGTCGTTTGTTCGTGTTTCGGTTTCAGAACCAGCCCCATTCGTAGCGAACCTTGCTCCGTTCGTAGCGAGGCCAGGAGCCCCGTTCGTAGCGTCCTTGCTCCTAGTAGTAAGGCCAGGAGCCCCTAGTAGCTTCTTGACGAGTTCGTGAAAACCCTCAGTTTGCTACACAGCCTTGAAGCTAGAAGATGGCCTCCACCCTACTAGCGGCCTCCAACCCTAGTAGCGGTGGCCTCAGTTTACCCTCCCTCAAATCCGAAACTTCGCAAGCTGCCATGTTGCAAAGTACTGTTTACATCGCTGCTATGGTGCAGGAGGAACTTGCAAACCTGAGGCAATGCTTGAAGAAATGTGTTGATGTCTTTAGGCAAGCACTTGTATGACTGACCTCCCAACCACCAGAGAATACCCCACCACCCAAAACCAAGATAAATGCAACAAGATAAGAGCAGCCCCGTCATCGACAAGAGCTAACAGCAACATGCTCTTGACCTATACGATTCAATTAGTACTCGAAGTTCTAAATATCTTCAAATAATATACCAAAAGACAGGAAGAATGAAAGAAAATTTTTATAAAATAAAAACGAGGGTCGAAAAAAAGAAAAGGTAGAAGTAAAAAAAAAACATATAAAAACATGGTCTCTTTGGACGTCAAAAGATTTGTACTTCGGGCCTCGAGCTGACCCGAAGCAGCAGCGTAATGCAGTGCACTCCAGCCATGGCCGTCCACGGCATTCACACCTCACAGCCGTGGTAAACAAACACGAAAAAATAGGATTAAGGGAATCGCTACTAGGGGCTCCTGGCATCGCTACTAGGAGCAAGAAGCTATTAGAAACAAGAATTAGAAGTAGAATTTAAGTTAAATTCAATTAGAATTGGAACAAGAAGCTTCTAGGTTGGAGGCCATCGCTTCTAGGTCGGAGGCCAT